GATACAAAGCTGTCTTTAGATATCTCCCACTGCTTAGCTTGGTTTAAATATATTTTTGATATAACATAGAAGATTATTGAACTATATTTTTGCCATTTCCTCCTCTGCACTTGGATCGCCAGCAGCATCAGTGGTAAATTTCATTACAACCAAGCAATGAAATTTCTATTCCTTGTGTAAAGAGCTTTCTGTGGACCATGAAATTATTCACTTGTATGGAGTACTGAGAGGTATTAACTTTTCTGAAGTACCAGTAATGCGAAATTCAAGAGTAATGGATGTAGAATACCCACACTGTGCTACTGTTCAGGTTTTGTGAATTTTGTTGTTATTGTCTGTGTTGGCTATGTTGGGATGGATGAGAAACTGACTGAATTTATGGATCAAGATTACAGAGAGGGTAGGGACAGTTGACATTATAGATTTGCTACAGGCCACCTGACCAAGATGACAGCGTGGGTGAAACCCTCCATGGACAGATAGGAGAGGCATCAGGTTCACAAGCCTAGGTCCTCATGGAGGACTTCAGCCACACCAAAATCTATTGGAAAGATAACACAGAAAGACATAAGCAATCCAGGAGGTGCCTGGATTTGTTGGTGATAACTTATCCAACAAGGAGACAATGAGGTGAGATGCAATGCTGGACCTCATTCTCACCAAAAAGGAGGGGCTGGTGGGGCATGTGAAGCTCAAGGACAGCCTTGGCAGCAACGACTGCGAAAGGATGGGGGTCAAGATCCTTAGGGAAGTTAGAAAGTAGTGCAGCAAGCTGGCTACTCTGGACCTCAGGAGAGTGCATTTTGGCCTCTGGGATCTTCTTGGTAGAGTAGTGTGGGATCTAATCTTGGAGGGAAGAGGGCCCGAGTAAACTAATATTCAAGGATAACCTCCTTCAAACTGGAGGCTCAGTGCATCCCAACAGCAAGAATGTTAGGCCATGTGCCAGGAGATCTGCCTCGATAAACAAGGAGTTCCTAGAGAAACCCAATCATAAAAAAAGAAGCTTGCAGAGGGTGGAAGGAAGGAAGGACGAGTAGCCTGGGAGAAATACAGACAAATTATCTGAGCAGTCATGGATCAGAGCAGTAAAGCTAAAGCCCTGGTAGAATTAAATGTGACCAAGGATATCAAGGGCAACAAGAAAAGCTTTTGTAAGTATGCTAATGATAAAGGGAAGACTAGAGAAAACATGAGTGCCCTCTAGGAGGAAACAGGATATCTGGTTACTTCAGTCTTCACCAGCAAGTTCTCTACCCACTCCAACCAAGCCATAGAAAGCAAAGGCAGGGACTGGGAGCATGAAGAATTACGTGCTGTAGTAGAAGATAAGGTCTAAGACATCTGTGGAATGTGAAGATGCACAGGTCCATGGGACCTGGTTCAGATGAATCTGTGGATCCTGAGGGAAGTGGCTAATGAATTTGCTAAGCCACTATCTATTGTATTTTAATGTCATGACAGTCCCCCATGAAGTTACCACTGACAGGAAATGGGAAAACACAACCTAGATTTTTAAAAGAGGAAAAAAATAAGATCCAGAGAATTTACATGGCAGTCAAAAATCATGGAGCACATCCTACTGAAAATGGTGCTAAGGGACACCAAACAAAGAAGTGTTTAACGATGGCCAGTGTGGCTTCACTAAGAGCAAATCGTGCATGACAAATTTGGTGGCCTTTTGCAGTGGGGTTAAAGCATTGGTGAATGAAGGAAGAAAAACTGATGTTATCAACTTGAAGTTGTGCCAAATATTTGATGCTGTCCTGGTCAGCATCCAGCTGGTCTCTAAAGTGGAGAGAGACAGATCTGATGAACCAAACCACTCGGTGGACAAGAGCTGTTGTCATTGGCTTGATGTCCAAGTGAAGACTAGTCATCTGATGTTCCTCACGGCTTGCTAGTGTTGAGACTGGTATTGTTTAACATCTTTGTTGGTGACAAGGACAGTGGGATTGAATGCACCCTCAGTAAGTTTGCTGACAACACCAAACTCTGTGTTCCAGTTTAAACATTTGAGGGTTTTGTTGCCATCTAGAGGTACCTGGACAGGCACGAGAGGTGAGCCTATGTGTACCTCTTGAACTTCAGCGAGGCCAAGTGCCTCACTGCACCTGTGTGGGGCAATCCCAAACACAAATACGTATTGGATGGAGAGTGACAGCAATCCTGAAGAGAAGGATTTGGAGCTGTTGGTTGATGAGAGACTCAACATGAGCCAGCAGTGTCTGCTTATAAACCAGAAGGCTAATTATATCCTGTGCTGCATGGAAAGAAGCATAGCCAGCAGGGCAAGGAAGGTGATTCTCTACTGCACTCTTATGAGAAGAGAAGCTGGATGCCCCATTTCTGGAAATGTTCAAGACCACGTTGGATGGAGCTTTGGGCAGCCTGGTATAGTAGGAGGTGTCCCGGCACAAGGAATAGGGGCTAAAACTAGATGATCTTGAAGGTGTCTTGCAACCCAAACCATTCTGTGACTCCTTTTTTTCAATTTCCCTTTTTTAGATCTATAGAATTCTTCATATTTCTTTGTTTTAGATTATTCAGAAGAATTTGTTTTACATGTTTTTAAATGCTTATAATGCTAGCATCTGACTTACTTTTCCTTGTTCTGTTCGACAAATATATTTGAATAGTGTGCTTTCTCCTTTAAGACAAGTGGTATTGAATTAGCTGATTATATGAAATATGAGTATTAGAAGCTCATCTGTAATGCTGCAGAGCATCTAGCACATAGTCTAATATTCTAAAAGAAGTTAAAACAAAGCATAAATTAAAAATGTGAACAATTGAAAGGAAGCAAAATACATCTTTTTAGGGATGAATCAGCCTTCATCCCTGAATTGTTGCTCAGTTCCTTATAGAATAAGAGGAACTCTGGGTATTTTATTTCACTGACTAGAGTGGTTTTGTTGACTGTCTCCCTTTTATCTTAAGAACTGCTCTGCCTTTGTGGAGCAGGAGAAGGAAGAGGGAAGCCTTAGGGAACAAGGGCTGTAAGAAAGGGAAGGAAGAGGGGACATGGAGGAACAAGTGCTTGGAGGTAGGGGCTAAAAGTTTTATGGATAAATGAGTTAAGAGGTGTAGGGCACATCTTACTTGTCATCCTTCTACCCACTGAACTGTCCTGAAATTTGTGATTTCAGCCACAGTGTTTTCCCTCTGCCCCTGCTTCAGTTCTCCGTACTAAGAATCTTCAAATATAATGGTGTGGGTTTCTTTGTTTGTTTTTTTGTTTTTTTGGTTGTGCCCTAGATAACAAACATGAGCACAGGGAAAAGCTGGTGGGTAACGTGTTCTTTGGAGCAGGTGTACTGACTGTCATTGGTGCTTATTGAAATCCATTCATTGAGAAGAAAGCTCTCCTATCGGTTGGTTTTATATTTTAAGATTCTGGTCTAGTCAATGAAGTTTGCAATCTGGCTTCATCTCTGCATGCTTGCCCTAGACTTATAGTTTTAACGACAGGAAGGAAAATTGCTGTCTGATCAAGATGTGAGATGGCTTTTGTCACTGATGAATCTGTACTTTGCTTTCCACAATGTTCTCCTCCCTTTTGCTTTTGTTGCATTCTCTTTCTTCCTGGGTCTTGCCTGTATAATTATTCCTTTTGAGTGTGCTTTCCATACTGCCTGCTGGTTTGATGTGACACTGAAGGGCCTCATCTTCCATGCTGAGTTCTTTTATGTTTATGCTATATTAATTTTCTGGTTTTGCATGTTCTACAACCATCTGTATGAGTGGCTTGTAATCTATGTTCTAAAAATGTTCTATTTCAATTTTGAACAGGAAGAATTTAAATTCTTTTTGTCTTTTCCTCTAAACCTCTCTTTATGCATAGTCAGTTTCTGCTCTGTTGGTGAGAGTGGAATGCTTATATTCAATTTTTTGCCACTAATTTTCTTTGTTCTCTCTGATCTTAGCTTCACAGATGCTGTAATAACTACTTGTCATTTAGTGTGGTAACTTTGATGTGTTTATTGAATGATATCTCAAAATACTCATCTTTAGGATTTATTGAAACCTCAATAGTATTTGCATAGCAGTTCAAAGATGTAAGGCTACTGATAAGGTTGAAATCTTGTCAAAAATCTTTTGTGCATCAAACTGAACTGGAACTTTCTTTTGTGTTGACAAATGTAACATTGCTGTTCATATCTGCTCAAAAGGCTGTTACAAGGATGATTCAGTCTCTAACACTGAAAACATCTTCAAATTTCAATTAATAAGTCTTTACTGAAATGTAGTTAATACCAAACCAAGGGAAAAAAAAACAAACAACAAATGCAAAACCCAAGCCCAAACACTTTTCCAAAGAAGCTTTAGTATCTTTTCAAAAAGTAAAGTAAGAATCATTGTCTTATATTGGTGATAAAGCTTTAACTTATTCATTAAACTGTGAATTTATACTACCTGTTTTTAACAACCTGTAAGTTTTTATGCTTCTAAGTGAATTTTTAAATAATTGGGACACAGAAAAGTGCTGAGCTCAGGTAATAATTGAAATGGAAAATAAATAGAACAGTGTCTTAGTCATGCTAACTTGTCTTATTAGTAAAAAGTAACATCACTATATATCATTATACTCTTTTACAATGTCAGGGATGCAGCCATTTCAGACTTAGGAGAAACAGTTTAGAACTGTGCCTTATATAAATCTACTTTTTTTTCTTCCATATTCTACATGTAATGGTTATGAGGAACTCTTCATAAATCCTTAGTTGGTTTTGTAAATACAATTTTCCTCAAAATTTTTTCCATGAAATTCTTATGTTCTGTGTGGTATCTTCATAATTTAGTGGAATTCTTATTTGCTACTGAAGTGCCAAGCAACTTACCATTATATGTATCCTTAAGAAGCCACTTTAATTAAGGCAGTTAAGAAACAGGTAAGTTACTACAGAAAAATCAGAATGTTGAGACTCCAAGAATACCCATCTAAATTAGGAGTACACAGAATGGGAAAAATGTGTGAAATATTCTGTTTCTGTTTTCAGCTGGACAGATTTGCCAGTATAAGAATTCCAGGGAGCAAAAAGGAAAGACCTGCTCTGCCACATATGAAGCAGTCACACTCCACAGATGGGTCATCTACACCTACTGATGTGGAAGATTTTGTTCCAAAACCCCTGTCAGAAGGAGAAATCATAGCACTCTTTGAAAAAATGATGGTAGGTGTCTTATACTGACTTTTTTCACTGAAGAATGCCGGCATGCATGATGATCTTCACCTGAATTACTATTTTTGTTGTTCTCTGCACCATTTCCAAAGAAAATGAAGCCCTTTAATTTTTGACAAGATTTGTGTGCCTGCAGTACTTAATATGGAAACGAAAGGCTTCTGATTATTAGAAGTGAGATTCTGCAACAGGTTTTGATGAGGAGAAAGAAGGGGAATCCTGCTTGCTTTTAAAATGACTTGAAACATAAAGGGGATTTATGCCTTTGAATGCCACAGCAGGGTTTCGTTCCAATCTAATATTTGCACAAAAAAGACTTGGAATTCTTGCCTCTAAGTCATTGTTTTCTCTACAAGGTGCATGCAGTCTTAGTGTAGTTTCTTCTGCAGCTGTCATCATTGATCTGCTACAAACGTGTGGTCACTTGCCAGAAAGATCATGTGATGTTGGTTCCACTTCAACTGGTGTTTTTTGTTTGGTTGTTTTTTTTTTTGACACAGTTGATGATATTTTAGGGAATGGAAGATCAACTGTTTAAAAGTAAAGAGCCCTTAGGGAAAAGAGTGAGATTGGAAAAGCAGAAATTCACAGAATTTCTTCACAGAAATTAATAATTACTTGTCTCCTGTGAAGCCCACATCAGCTACTATTGACTAGGTTGTGGAGGAAATTAAATGTAGTCTTAGAGGAGTGCTCTTATAGAATTTATAATTCCTAGTACTCTTTAGTGTTTAGTTTTGAAGGTATATTTGTACTACTGTTGAGAATTATGACTGAGAGAATAGTAATTTTTTGTAATTTCGTTGTTGAAGTCAAGCTTTCTGGAGATACTTTTGCTGAAAAATATCAGTTGGTCAGTACGGAAGGGAACAGCTTCTAAAATCAGAAACCTCACTGAGTACATTATGCTACCTTTTGGGTTTTCTTGGATAAATATTGCTTAATTTTTCCCACATTGTGTGCACTAATGTCCTGTTGGTGGTTGAAATTATGAAAAAGTTTCATTTTTGATCACGGAATTATGAAAGAATACATAATACCAGAGAGTCAAGGATGATTACTAGCTCCTTTCATTTCTGATTATTGCTGTTAGGAAGGTATTCATGAGAAATGATTGACTCATATTTTCCAAAGAGCCCACCTACAGAATAACTTGAAATGATTTGAGGGGAAATAAAAGATTCGAGTTGAAACCTAAGCCACAGTTGACATGCCTCCTTAAGCAGTTGAATACTTCTTATTTGTAAAATTCTATTGTTTTGGTGTTTCATATCATAGAATCATATCATAGAATGGCCTGGGTTGAATAGTACCACAATGATCATCTAGTTTGAAACCCCCTGCTATCTGCAGGGTTGCCAACCACCAGACCAGGCTGCCCAGAGCCACATCCAACCAACCTGGCCTTGAATACCTCCAGGGATGGGGCATTCACAACCTCCTTGGGCAACCTGTTCCAGTACATCACCACCCTCTGTGTGAAAAACTTCCTCCTAACATTTAACATAAACCTCCTCTGTCTTAGTTTTAAACCATTCCTCCTTGTCCTATCACTATCCACCCGCATAAACAGCCATTTTCCCTTCTGTTTATATGCTCCATCCAAGTACTGGAAGGCTGTAATGAGGTCTCCTCGGAGCCTTCTCCAAGCTAAACAATCCCTGTTCCCGCAACCTTTCCTCATAGGAGGGATGCTCCAGCCCTCTGAACATCTTAGTGGCCCTCCTCTGGGCTCATTCCAGCAGTTCTGCGTCTTTCTTGTGCTGGAGCCCCCAGACCTGGATGCAGTGCTCCAGATGGGGCCTCACAAGAACCAAGTAGAGTGGGACAATCACCTCCCTGCTGGCCACCCCTTTTTAATGCAGCCTAGAACACAGTTGGCTTTCCGGGCTGCAAGCGCACACTACTGGCTCATGTCCAGTTTCTTGTCCACCAAATCCTTCTCTGCAGGGCTGGTCTCCAGGAGATCTTCCCCCAGTACGTATAAATACATAATTAAGTGTAAGATCGCCCCAGCCCCGTAGTTCCCTGGGTCTTCCTTTCTCCCTTTCTTAAAAATGGGAGTAATGTTTCCCTTTTTCCAGTCACCGGGGACTTCACCAGGCAGCCATGATTTTTCAAATACGACGGGGAGCGGCTTGGCACCCACATCAGCCGTCTCATTGAGAACCCGAGGATGTTTCCTTTGTTTAAAAAAAAAAAGCAAACCAAAAAAAAGCAAGAGATGACTTCTTACAGACAGAATATAATATTTCCTATGAACGAACTTGCCCTTACATCTAGGATTATGCAATATGTTTTGTACTGATAAGTTTCTTAGTTTCTTGCCTTTTTTTTTTTCAGTATGGTTAGATGTTGGATATATTCTGCAACAAAAGCAAGGCCTTTGTTTTCACTTCATTACTCAATAAGTTCAGGAGTTTTATTTCCAGAAAACTGAAAAGAGCAAGACTACTTTAAACAGAGGATTGTAATAGCTACAGGCAAACATGAAACTTTGTTTAATTTAATTTCTCCATTATATAGCATATACGCACATTTCAATTTTATTGTGAAAGAAAATCTATGGTATTTTACAAGCAAGGTACTGAAGATGTGATAAGTTTCAGGAAAGGCTAAAAATGACCTAGGCATGGTTTTTTTTTTTTTTTTTTTTTTTTTAAAAATGCTTTACTGAATATTTTGGTTTCAGTCTTCTTAACATTCCTGTTAATGTAAGCTTTAAAAATACAATTGAAATACTGAATAAAATCCAGCTAGCACTATTATATATACATGTAAAGTATATTTTTGTTTGAGGTTAGTATTGCTATACATCTGTATACCTGTGGAAAGAATTTTGAGGCACAAAATCCTGAAGACATTTATTGGAACTTGCAAGAAAAAAAAAAATTGTCTGTTAATATCAAGATGGACTTTATTTTAGTTGTTAGAATATGGCTTGTCACGTGCACATCATAAAGGATATGTTGCCTGGTAATAAGAGTCTTCATAGATATGTTGTTCAGCATTTAATAGATGGTAGTGAATTAAATTATACTATTGTATGAAATGAGAGATACCTGTACATGATAACAAGGAAAAGACTAGAGAGAACAGTAAGGTCAATCTGACAATTTTTTCTTCCTAATTTTTAGCCCAAGGCATAAAGATTTTCATGCACCTGTTTAGAATTTACAATTGTAGTGAAATTGTAGTACTTTACATGCTTTGAAATAATTTTTACTTATAAAAAAAATTTTGAAGAAGTAAATTAGAAAGAACTTCCTTATCAGTTTCTTATTTTAAATGCCTTTCTGGTTGTCCCTAAATCCTTTTTTCCCAAACCATACATTCATGTCTGAGCTCCCCGATGAATTTTAGAAGTCCTGTAGTCCTGTCTGATTATGTAATTTCCTGCTAAAAATTTTCCTGGCTAGCAAACAAATAAACAAACAAACAAACAAAACAAAAAACCACCCTAAAAACTAAAAATTAAATTTGTAGCCTTCCATCTTTAGTACTTTGATTTTTGACATCCTGAAGACTTCACCTTGTGTGGTTGATTGTTCTCATTCTCATCCTGAAAAAAACCTGCAGCTGCTTATGAAAGCTTTAATAAAGACAAGCAGCTTTAAATATATTTTCTGTTTTTATTTTTTTCCATAATGTTAAATACAGAAAACTTACCCCCACCTTGTTTTGTTCCCAGACATATGAAAGTCTTATACATTATCCCAACAGTGTTTTAAAAGCGCACATTTTGGATTGATTTTTTTTTTTAATTCTTTTTTGTGCAGCATTTTTGAATGATGCCAAGTTGCCTATCATTAAGTAAATCATATTGGTTTATTGTTTACTATCACTATCAACAAAAATCTAGAAAACGTAGCATTTATTTTCAAGATAATGCCCCAACATTTGGTTTACTAAGAGGCAAAATGCAGTATTCAGCTATTGCACAAGGCAGTTGTCAATTTTTTTCATGGATTCTGGTAGTCAGGATGGCAAACACAGTGCTGATCTGTTTCTTCCAGATCCAGACAAATACTAAAATAAAAGATTTAAGAACATTTGAGTTCTTCTCAAGGGAGTTCTTCTCATGTAAAATGGATAGGAACTGTAGTAATATGAAGAAAAATAGATGGATGAACTGTTGAGATTTACATAACTAACGTGTTATGTAAGTGTACGCTGTGACTATCAAAATGAAGAAAAAGGCATGTGTCAAGAGTATGTGTCCTTATGTACTGCTAGAATTTTGTTCTTGGCATAAGATGATAGTTTCTCTCTGAACTGTTTTGATCAAAGAAGTACAGCACTTTGAAGAATAGAACAGTTATGAGAAAAGATTGAAGTATGTGTGGCCTCCTTTCTTTCAGCTTGTTTAGACAAATCTTGTTTTGCATTAATTTTTTGATATGGGAGGTAGCATGAATGCATGAGCTAGTTGCCACAGAGGCAAAAGACTGTGATATTACCATATTTTAAGTCAAAGAACTTTTTTCAGCATGCACCCTGTACTTGTTTGGCACTAGTGGGAAAAGCAAAGAAAAAAAAGCTTATTTTACTAAGTGAGAAAACTTTCTCTAGTCCTTCAGGAAAGGAAATGATGACATTTCTGAGCAGAAAAAGAAAACAGAATCTACATGAAATTGCCCTAATTTTGCTGTGAAGCAATTCAGCTTAAAGGGTCTAGCATTTTCTGCAACTTCTTACAGCTCAGATTTGTAACAGCTAAATATTTCTAGAAATTGTGGTTGACCTTGTCCTGTTCCATATGAAAACTGGGGAAAGACAAGGAAGTTCAAGTTTCAGTGATCTTTAAATTTTGATGTTCAACTTGCTTTCTTAAAATTAAAAGAATAATTTGTTTGCTTTCTGTCACTGGTTCTTGAGTAGGTGAAATGAGCTTTGATATTGAGATTGTGAGACAATGCCCCATCAGTGGGCAACGAGTTTCAGCTGAAAATAACTGCAGTAATTTGTCCTAAGTTTGGTTGACCATAATAATGCTAAATGTATACATAAGTGTGTGTATATATTGTTTCCAAATGCCATTTTAACCTACAGCATGAAAGGAAATGTCTGCTGTCACAAAATGTAGAACTGATTGTAACAGTCAGAGCATTCCTAGGCTTGGAACACTAGGAGTTCATGAGTCAGAACTGCCACTGAATAGCTGCTCTGTGGCTTTGAATGGGGTTCTGCATCTGCTGTTTTTGACTCTTGGGTTTATGTTGGCATGAAATGTGACTGGTTTTGATAGCAGTTGAAGGTGTTGTTTTAGTGATGAAGACATCAAGAATTTGGTCCTCGCCTTTTGTAGAAGTGAATATTATTCTGTGAACTACCCTTGGGAAAAAGGAGATTGCATTGCCCAGCTTTATATATTTCAATATTTTAAGTGATTTTTGAGAAGAGGTTTTGCTACTTCTGTTTGTGATGCACTCATTTATCCTGGCTCAGTTGCTTTTTTTTTTCAATTTGATTTGCTGAGGAAGGTAGATACACTTTTTTGTGATTTTAAATAACATCTAACTTAGCTATTTGTATAAGAACTTTCAGTTGCTTCGGTTCACGTTTTTGTGTCTTTACTTTTTATAATCAGTATTTTATGGTTGAACAACTATTGCTTGATGCCAAAACTTCTTTTATTTCTCTTTCCATTCTAGGAAGATATGAATTTAAATGAAGACAAGAAGATGCCGTTGAGAGAAAAGGATTTTAATACCAAAAAAGAAATGGTGATGCAATACATTAGCACTGCTTCAAAGTCTGTACGTACATTTTGGTGAAATATATGAAAAATGACTTAACATTTACCTTCCTTACTACTAGAGAGGAAAAGTAATGTACGCATATTACTTTCTTTTGATTAACTTATTTCTCAGATAAAAACATTTTTAAGGGACATTATCTCATAAGTTTACAAGCTGCAATAAAAGATACCTAGTGCAGGGCCAAACTGTCCGGATATTGTTTAAGATGAGCCTGTGAGAGCTACTAGTCCTTCTGCAGCATAAAAATTCTTTAGTACTGGAAGATTGGGAAGTCAGTCAATTTTTCTTTTTTAGAGATATTTCACAGAAGATCAGGAAACTTCAGGCCACGGCTACAACACCCCTGGTATTTCTCAGCCCAGAACAAATTACCTAGGTTTATACGTTGTTGATACTCCAAACCTCCACAGTCGTTCTAAGAGCTAGATTGTTTGATCTAAAAAGTGGCTAATAGTAGAATATGGATGGCTGTGCAGAGTTGCTGCATCTGTGTATGTTACTGAAACCTCACCATATTGATGATAGTGTTAAGACTCCCTTTCTTGAGAGAGAAGATTTTGTGCTGGCTCTTGATTTCCTAGCACTTACTGCTTGCAAAGAACTGAAGCCTGTAGCTGATGAATAGGTTTCATAGATCCTTTCAAATGTCATTTGCAATAAAGATTTTTTTTTTGTTGTTATCATCATGTATTTTTTGCTAGTGGAGCCTATAGCACTATGCACAGAGCAGCCATACAGGGTACTCTGTTGAAGAAGACAGGTCAGTTTTCCTCCTCCAGTATAGTTGTTTGTTCCAGCACACTTTTGTTTTGCCCCAGCAATTTGTTTCCATTTTCTCCTCCCTGACTTCCCACCTGTCCTCCTTTGTGCTATGAGAGACCTCTGTTGAATAATTCATGAAGAGAAACTCTTGTATTTACTGAACTATGTTACTACTGCTATATCTTTACTAGAAATAGCATTCAGATTTCTGAGGAACTGGGAGGAGCTTTTCTGTGATGTATAAATTCAGCTGTTTGATACAGAAGTCCTGCAGATGAATATGATTTAGTGTTGGTGCTGTTGGGACTGGAAACTCATGGTCTCCCACCATCCTCCTTGCAAATTCTTTGTTGCCAGCATGTTTTTAAGTGCCTCAAGTGTACTGGACGCACCAGGTGCCCTCTGTATCTTAGGGGAATAGTGCACTTGCACGCTGTACTGCACTTAGCAAACTTTCAGTGTACCTTCACTCGAGGAAAGGGGAGTGAGTTCTTTTCAGATGAGCTGAAATGCTGAATTTGTGCCTGAATGCTATGTATAACTGATCCCATCTCACGTCTCTGTTCCTATTAATGAGACGCATACTAAGCTATCTTATGTTGGTACAGAGTATATTCACTTACAACCCTTCTACAGAGTCCTCACCAGGCTTCATTTAAAGCAGTTGTTATTATAAACACTACTGAAATGGAGAACAGGTCCCTACTGTAATAAATCTCTGAATATGAAAGAGCCTTTAGTGATCAGTGGATTCTACTCTAACCGAAGCTTCATCATTGGCTTCAGTATCAGGATTTCTCTTTCTTGGAAGTGCAGAACACTTTTCCAACGTTTACAAAGAATGGCTCTATTACTGGTATATCTAGAGATCACACTGGTTTTGGCAGATCTATATATATTCAGTTGCTTATTTATGTATAGAATACTGTAACCTACCTCCTCACGTATATGACATGTTTAGAATGAATCCATCGCTTTAGGACCAAGGAATGTACTTCTGAGTAACTTAAGTTCTGCAGACAGGCATAGTTTGATACTCCTTAATTTGTTTCCTTTTTACTTAGAGAGTTCTTAAACAGTTAGCTAAATAAAAGCTTCTGTACATGTTCGTAAACATGCTGTCATCATCAGCCTTTATTAATGTTTTAAGAAGCTCCCTGTAGAAGAATTTTTGAGCATGTAAAGCCTCTTTGTCTGGGGAACTTATTTTGGACAATAATATAATTTACATGCTTGAATAATTCTTCTGAAGCACTTCAGAATATTCTGCTATTGTGTATTTGTTTTCTTGTAATGTACAGTGTTTAGATGAAGCCTTATTTCTTCCTTTAAAATATCAGCTGAGAGGTATGTATCACATACTGCTTCAAACCATAAAGGTTTGAAAACCTTAAGTGAAATTTTTGTTTCCTGTGGTATCATGTCGTATTTATCAGGAAGCATTCAGAATCAGAGAATCATAGAATCATAGAATGGGATTGAAAGGGACCCCAAGGATTATCAAGTTCCAACCCCTCTGCCATAGTCAGGGCCACCAGCCTCCAGAAGAGTGAACATAGTTGTATTAAAAGGCTACCTCATCTACCAAAGTAAATTTCACTTCTCTGTATGTGAAACATACACAGACTGGATTTTTAAAGTGAGTTTTCTTCGCAAGATTTCATTTTTGTTGTTCAGCTTACTCCCTTGTAATGTTGTAACTGAATTAATTAATGCTGACTTCATACTGCATCTGCTCACAGACCAGTTGTTCTTCAGTTGAGCAATTAAATTTTGAGAGGCACTGATGCCTCAAGATATTTCCTGTTTCTCGGTTAATTCAAGCATTTTGAACTTAAGCAGCTTTTCCCATGCAGAAATATAGCTAATATAATCAGTTTCACAATTGATATCAGCTACAGTTCTCATTTTACTTGAGCAGTGGCAGATGCATCATATTCTTATTAAGTAGCAGAACTGTGTTATAACTGTGAATAATAAGTGGTACTTGGTACTGTGGATATGTTGTGCACACACTCATACAGTTCATTGGCGTCATCTACACAAGATAACGTTCAGGTGGGGAAGTGAATGTGAAACAGAGTGGATGTTGATGCAGGTCTCCATTGCTTATGATGGTGTCTTTGGATGGGTCAGATGAGACTTTCTGAGTTGTCATTCTAATAAACTTCTGTTGTCTGGCTGGATTCATTTTCCCTGTGACCTCTCTACATGTTGCTATTACTTTCAAAACACCTTCTAATTATCTTAACTGTACATCTGGTCCATATGACTTTCCTACTTGACCATTTCTGCATTAAAATAAGGCTGTTTTACCAACTATTTATAAGTATCTTAGCTGTATCCAGCTTGGTCATTTTTACAGCAAGAACTGCTGGGATATGTCAATGGAAATGACAAGTTCTCCACCCAGGATATTAATCCATATGCTTAGGCATACAAGTAGTGCTTATCAATTAGTCTGTGCACAGCAGGAGCTGCCAGGAGAGTTTCTGGGACTTTTTGAAATTCCCACGTGTAGGAGAACTTCTGTAACATTTAGTTAAATGTTTTGTTGTGATGGCTGCTAGGATTTCGGTTGGTCATCTTGTCTCTAGCCACTCCATTATCTCATCCATGCAGAGAATAGCTGAGGAGATCCAGAACTGCACAGGGAACTGAATGCATGCATTTGCACACAGCTGCACCCCTGACCCACTGTTACACCAGAGATGTGACTTAGATTACCTACACATGTCACAGCTGTAACTCAAATTCCATAGACTCAGGAGTATGTACTGTCTTGTCTTAAAATGTTTGGGCATTTATTGTACCAGGATGGATGTGTTCAGTATGCACGCTGTTGAATAATAAAAAAGCAATCCCTGTCACTGATCCCCCTTAGGCATTTAATTTGTAGAGTTTTAGACAACATTCTTTTACCTTTCATATTCTATCAAATCTGTTATATGCTTCTTAATGTTATGAGTTTTTTTAATTTGTTTTTTGAGATCTTTTACATTTGGCTTAGAGATTCTCTTCAGTTATTTCCTCATCTCCGTTGAGCTCTAACACAGCCATACTTATAGGGAAGCTCAGCTGCTTGCCTGATGGAAATGTAAGTTACTATCTTGGTGAAGAGGATGATTTTGGAAGCACTTCAGTTTTAGATCCAGGGCTTGAAAAGATTTTCATGGAATATTCTTGCCAATTAGATGTATTTTTAAGAAGGTGGTGTGTTGTTCCTAACATTACCGGTGTACACTGGTGGTAACTCTTGGATCCAGAAAGTATCTGAATAGGTGTTGTGTGAAAAAGACAAAGTAGTTGGCAGAAAATGAATCTCCCTGCATTCCAGCTTGTTCTCAGCTATCCTTGGGGCCGGGGACAGCTGAGCTTAGATTCTGAGTGATGTTCAGTTTGATGCTGTAAGTCTGGTCGTGTTCACTATCACAGTAAAAAATTCACAAATAATGCACTGCCCAAGTTGTCTGGTTGTGTTCAAATGAGCTCTTGTGACCACCTTTAAGGAATTTGGCTAGGCCCACTAAGAACTCCTGTGGCTGGATTGAGTAGGTCAGTTCAACTCCCTTGACTACCTGGTGATGCTCTTCCACTGTGGTCTACTGAGTTCCCATCAAGCGCTCTGCAAGTCAGATTCTGACTGTTTGGACTCCAGCATATGTCAGTGCACCTGGGAAGTAATAATCGCTTGCATTTCCTGCTGAGGCACTCCATGAGATCCTTCTCTGCATGTTTCTGCTGCCTGTTGAGATCCACCTGAATGTCAGTGAGCCATCTAATCTGTCAGCCAGTCATACTAATTTTTAATCTCATCTCTTTCAGAATTTTTTTTTTTTGTGCTTTGCTTCCAGGAACAGGAAAGAGTAACTTTCAGCACTTAAACTCTTGACTTAAGCCCAATAAGCCTCATAGTATAACCAATATAATAATAAAGTATTATTAAGTAACTCTTTAATGCTATATCATAACTATACCTCAGCTCCCAGCAAAATGAGTCTTACCATTGGGTCAACCCAAATATAGGTTGCATGCCTCATCCCCATCTGCCCTGAAAAAAAAAGTGTGAAGGAGTGAATACTATTAAGAGTATAGTGAATGCTTCTTAGATTTTTAATTTTAACTGCAAATTCTATGGCTGCTTTTGTTGAGGGTGACTGTTGTTTTGTTTAAAACACTGTATATTCTGTGTCCTCCCAAAAGGTCATTAATATTTCGAATTTACTTTAAGCAACATTTCTCATTTAATGATTTAATGATGCGTTGAGGCAATTGTCTTTTAGCTTATGTTGCTTAAAATAGGAAATACAGGAAATATTTTGTCTATATAAAACTGCTTTTATAGCACTGCATTAGCTTTTCATAGCATTTTCTTTTCAGTGCCCTCATGTCCCCATTTACCTCCCCACCCACCAAAAAAGACCAGAATCCAAAAAGCAAAATTTGGGTAAAATTCTTATTTTAAAATATCATGTTATTGCATCAGCAGTCATGTTTGTATTGGGCTGGGATTTATCTTTTAGAACTTAAGTTGCTGCTTACAGTGTTCAAGTCCCTCCTTTTTTTAAATTTGTTTGTTTGTTTGTTTGTTCTGTTTGTTGTTTATTTTCCTGAGGTGTTTACTTCATCCCTTAGAACCAAGGTAGTCTTTTTTTTTCTACAGTTCCAGCCTCATACTGTTGTGCTGCCAGGATCTTGAAGAAAAAAGTGTTTTACAGCATGTTACTGCAGTGATATCCTGAATGCTCTTCAGATGCACTGGTTATTCAGTCTGTATTCCCATAAGAATGCCATGACCTACCTTGATGCCTGTCCTGTGATCATCTCAGATTTTTTTTTTTTTGTATTGAATATTAAAAATTAAAATGTTTGCAATGCACAGAATTAATTTGTTACAAAAACACTATTTCACCAAGTGTGCATGATGCATTTTTATGTTTGCTGTCTGCTACTTTTGACTACCAATCATAAACTTAATCACGAATTGGCAAAAATGTAATCAGCATTCAACATAAACAGTGTGTGGACAACAAATAGTTGCAGACTTAGGTCTAAAATATATTGTTTTCCCACATTTTATGGATCAAAACCAAAGTTTAGTCATCAATGGTTCATTCAAGTGCTGTACATGCCAAATAAAAAATGAATTTGTTTTCTGTTTTTCAGGGAAGTCTCAAGAACAGTCGAAAGATTTCACCACAAGAATTTATCCAGGAATTAAAATCTGGATCAACAGATGAAAGACTAGTGACTTGCTTAGAATCACTTCGTGTGTCCTTAACTAGTAATCCTGTCAGGTAATGCAGAATTTGAACATCATTAACAAATATTGCAAAGATTGATCACATTCTTATTTCTTCGTGGATTAAAATGAATGGATCTCTAGATGTGCACATTTCAAGGTTTTCCACTTAATGAATGTGTATGTTTTAATGAATGATTATATCCTTTTTTCTTTTTCTGCATTGATTGTATACCTTCTGCAAATATTGTTTTCGTAAAGCATATTTTTAATTAACAGAGAAGATAAGAATCAAGTGATAGTGAATAGTTTTATCCTGGTACTTTAAAACAAAACAATAACAAAGGAAACAAACTGAAATTACAGCTTATGGCTCTAAGGAAAGAATCTCTAGAGCAAAATATATCCTCTGATCTTGATCACTGTTCTTGAGGTGAATAAATGGGGACACAAATATCTCATAGTTACAAACAGTTCATGAAATGTGATTTGGTGATCTATTTATTCTCCTTTCATATAGTAGTTGCAAGAAACTTAGATAATTCCATTAAGAGAACTTTTTAAAAATGCACTGAGAATGGAACACTGACAGCTACCTTGGTATTTTATCAGGCTGACAAAAAGCTGTGTTGCCTCCAGGTATAGGGCAAGTAATTTGTTATTCTGTTGTGGAAGCAAAGGAAAGGACAATAATAACAGTGGTATTTTACACACTGAATCATTCCCAGCCTCTCCAACTGCTGGGCATGTGATAAAGTGTCTGCGTACAATTTCACCTAATACAAAATATGGTAAGAAACATCAAGTAGGATCATCTTTAGATCAGATATAGCCAGTTATTCTCAAAATACTTGATCAATGTTTGCCTGATCTGTTTCAGAACAAACCACCCTGGCTGAGAAAATCTATTTTAAAGTATTTATACATTTACACGAAAAACTTATAAAAGCATCTGATCCTAGTGTATAATTTAAATAAGTCCACTATAGTTCTGTGTCTAGCAAATAGAAAGAACATTGGAATCCTCTCCTGTGATGAGAATGGAAATATTTTGTCTTTCAAAAGAGCTTCTGCATCTTACCTTGTATTATTTGCAGTAGAATGACTTATTATTTGTCACTGATGAGGTCCCACTATTATAGGTGTATCTGAAAATTCTGATTACTCTTCAAATGTAATATAAATAATAATAATAAAGTATTATGACAACAAATAAATTTTACTCCCAGATAAATTAATTTTTTACCCATTGCATTTAATGGTGTGTGAATAATAGGATCATTGAGGTTGGGAAAGACCACCAAGGTCATCCAGTCCAATCACTGCCCCATCTTTACCATACTCACTATATCTTATGCCTAAGTAGCACATCTTCCCTTTTCTTGAAAATTTCTGGGGAAAATGACTCCACTACTTCCCTGTGCAGCTTGTCCAATGCATTATCACTCTTCCCGAGAAGAAGTTTTTCTAATAGCTAACCTGAACCTCTCCTTGTGCAATGTGAGCCCATTACTACCTGTCCTATCACTAGTTATTTGGGTGAGGAGACCAATCCTAGTCTCACTATCAACTTCTTTTCAGATAGTTTTAGAGAGTGATGGGGTCTCCCCTGAGCCTTCTTTTCTCCAGTCTAAAGAATCCCAGTTCCTTCAGTCATTCTTCATAGGATTTGAGCTCCAGACCCTTCACCCATTTTGTTGCTTTTATAGTCTGGACAGGCTCCAGTGCCTCAGAGTCTTTCTTGTAGTAAGAGGCCTAAAACTGAACACTGTACTGTTCTGTACTGAACACTGAAGTGTGCAGCCCTACCAGGGCCGTGCACAGAGAAAAGATTTCCCTACTTCTGCTGGCTATACTGTTTCTGATACAAGTCAGAATGTCATTGGCTTTCTTGGCCAGCTGAGTATGCTACTGGCTTGTGTTTACACAGCTGCTGATTAATATCCCCAGATACTTTTCCTCCACCTAGCTTTCCAGTCACACTGCCCCAAGCCAGTAGTGTTGGCGGGCATTACTGTGACCAAAGTGCATGACCTGACACTTGGTCTTGCTGAACTTCATGCACTCGACTCAGTCCATCAGTCCAGGCTCTTTGGATCCTCTTTATGGCCTTCCTGCAACTTAATGTTATCTGCAAACTTGTTGAGGTTGCATTCAATCTCCTCATCCAGATCATCAGTAAACATATTAGTCAGGACTGGCTCCAATATTGATCCCTAGAGAACACCTCTAGTGACTGATTGCCAGCTGGATTTAACTCCTTTCACTGCCAATCTCTGAGCCTGGCTGTTCAGGCAGCTTTTTACCCTGTGAAGAGCATACCTGCCCAAGCCATGAGCTACTAGCTTCTCCAGGAGAATACTGTGGGAGACAGAAACAAAAACTTTACTAAAGTCCAGGTAGATTACATCCACAGTCTTTCCCTTGTTCACTAGGCAGGTCATCTGGTCATAGAAGGAGATGCTGGTCAAGCATGACCTGCCTTTCATGAACCCATGCTGGCTGGACCTAATGCAATGGAGAAAACATATAAAGTAATGTTAGTGCAGTGAACAGTAGTTTTTTTTCCTAATTCTCATAAACTTTTTGGGGGTGTTGAACTTCTGATTTTTCAGAATGGATGTTTAATTTTTACATGAAAGACAATTTTTTTTTTTTTTAATACAGGACAAGGGGTTCTTTAGCGTAAGCTTTTTAAGTAAAATATTGTAAAGAATTCACAGAAACTACTGCTGCAACACCCACAACAGAATCTTTGTTTTAGTGATTATAGAAACTACTACATCTGTATCATGCTAGGTATCTTATGTTCTAATTATGATTTTGTAATCAGTTAATAGTTAAATGTACTATGCTAATTTCATGGAAGAGAAAGAAAGAGTAGGGTCAGGAGAGACCTGTTATGAAATGAATTTCTGTCTTTTTTAGTAGTAAGCGATCTAAAATTTTATGACATTAGTATGGAAAGTTAACTAAAGTTGTTGGGAAATATTCCCTGTCACTTATGGGAAGAGAAGAGTCTTCAGGTATCCCCTTCCCTTAACTCACAGCGGCGTATAAAAGGCAGAACATGTCTTCTGTTATGACTACAAGTGTTAGTGTTGTCTGTGAAATGTAGGGTTATGTAATTGATCAAACATTGTTTCAGCAAGACCAAGAGGTGCTATCCAGGGGATGGCTGCAGTAATGCAGGCAGTCAATGAAGAGTAGAACTTTGTTGTATCAAGCCATTTTGACCAAAAATAAACAGAAAAGTGAAGCAGTTGTCTGGTAGAAGCAGCTTGCCAAGGCTTAGTCTCATGAAAGTTAGCTTTGGTCAGAACTGAATTTTTTGTTTTGTTCTCTTGAAAGTATTCACATGCGTTCATATCTCAGGGAAACATTTCTGTATTTTCTGTAGGCATTTTCTTCCTTCTTTACCATTTGTTGTTTAGATTCTCTAATTTTCATTAGATACTCTAATGTTTTGGTTTTTTTTAAGGTAATCTAATTGGGCCAAGGAGTGAAGGCAATGCCCCTTGATCCTCTGTTGAATAAAGATCAAATTTAGGTCATAAAATCATCAAGTTATACTGCTTTTATTTATTCTAAGCAATTTAATTTATTTTAATTAATATTTGAAATATCAATTGTTTTAATGTCTTCCTTTCTCCCTAGCTGGGTAGAAAACTTCGGCCGAGAAGGTCTGGGTCTTCTGTTGGATGTTTTGGAAAGACTGGTTGAGACAAAGCAGTAAGGATAACTTTCTTTAAAATTGATAGTTTTTATTATTATGTATACAGCATTTAATTACAATAATATATTTTTTTAATCTAATCAGCCAGGACAAAGCTGTGAAGAGAAGCCAGCATAAGGTTATACAGTGTTTGAGAGCCTTCATGAATAATAAGGTATGGGATTTTCCTTAATCTGGAAGTTTGTTCTACTGCTGTTTAGTCTGATATTGTACACGATCAGTCAGTGTGTGTGTAATTTGGAGAAGCAGAGGGTTGGTCAGCTGTGACTTGAAAAACTTCCACCACATCGATTTGCAGAAGCCTGCTTTCATAATAGTATAAATTTTTGATGCTGATGTTTGCTCTCATTAAAAAATGAGTGACCTGTTTTGACCTTTCCCTCATTTAATTTAATTTTTTTTTTTATTTGAAAGAGTTAAATATGATTTGAAATGTATGCTCAAGGAAACTGTTGTCATATTGTACTGGACTTTCAATATTATCATTTGGTTTCCTTCCAACTCTCATTATAAGTATTTTTCTTCTGTTTAGTATGGATTGGAAAGAATTCTGGGAGAAGAGAGGAGCCTTTTGTTGCTGATCAAAGCAATTGATCCCAAGCAAACTAATATGATGACAGACATAGTCAAACTCCTTTCTGCAATGTGCATTGTTGGAGAAGAAAGCATGTAAGTACTGTGTTTAGCCAGATATAGTAAGGTAATTTCGGGATGATTAATATTGTCATGGTGTTTAAATGAAACGCTGAATTTTTCAACTAATGCTTGAAAGTAGTATCTGTACTGTGTTGTCATTTTTGAAAATACCTTTATCTGTAACTTTTTTCATGGTTGTATTGGTAAGAATTTTCTTTTTTGGCATGTGAATGAACTGGTCAGATGGAAGTAGTTTTGCAGCCATTTTTTTCCTAGAAGTTTTTTAACATTACATTTAAGGTGTTTTAGCCATTGTAATCTAGTAGTCACTCTTTGGTTACATAAGTCTCCAAAGTAAACTATGCTTAAACCTCCTACATTTGTACCCTAAAATTGAAATAGGTGAATGTTCTGGCAGCATGACTCTTGATATGACAAATGAACAAGAAGGTTAAATATCTCTCTTGAGTGAAATGCTTTTATTTTCGTGTAGCCTTGAAAAAATTTTGGAAGCTATAACAGCAGCAGCAGAGGAAAGAAATGTTGATAGATTCTCTCCTATCGTAGAAGGACTTCAGGATAACTCAGTTCAGCTGCAAGTAAGCAATTTTTTGCACCAATAGTCTTTACAACAAGCAAGTTGTACATTATAGTTTTATATATTAATTTTATAAATTAATTTATTTTAATATATTTTATATTAATTTTATAAACATTATAGTTTTATATAGTTTTATATATTTTTATATAGTTTTATATATTTTTCTGCATTACAAAAAGGGATACTGAAGAAGAAGAGATACTGTTTTAAATAAAGGTTCAACTTGGGAATATTTTTAAAAATGTAATCTTTGAAAATGCATTATTGGAAGATTCAGTCTTGAGAAACATAATGATGTTGTGGTTGAATTTGCTTTTATCTGCTTACCCAAATCTTACAGATTTTTTGAATTAAAGTTATACTGCCTTTTAAAGTAAAGTGTGAGTTATGTATTAAATGCAAAAGTATCTAATCTCTAATGATATTAGCTTGAAATTAAACATAAATATTCATAGAAAACAAGAATTTTTAGCACAGTGTTTAAAAAATAATTTTTAAATGAATATGAAATCTGTCTCTCATATCTACTTCTTCACTTCATTTGCCTTCACCCACAGTGAAAGCAAAGAACTTTTCACCTTATTTTCAGTTTGCTTCAGTTGAGATATAGAAATACAGAAAGATGCAGAGTTTTATAGTAAAATTGAGCAATCTTTATAAGTCATTATTCTATTAGTGTGAATAGTAACTCGTATTGATTTTCATGTAACTTGGGTGAATAAAAAATTTTTCTTATCATATTCTGAATTTTGCCACAGTGGCAGGAGATAAATCTGCAGTTTGGAAGAAATGGTTGTATTACTCCACTGTCACCTTTTGTATTAAACAGTTCATGTCTGATAGTAAAAATTGCTTTTGCTTTCTCAGTCGTTTTAGTAGTCTAGATATCAAATTGTAATATAACTTGTTGAGTAATAAACTGCCTTTCTTTAGTCTCCCGTATTGTAAAAATCACTACCAAAATACTTTGTTTTCTGAAGTGCGTTCTAGAATAAAAATTATGTCTGTGCTGAGCGTAGGTCAGCAGAAGATTATATAAAAGATTAAAGGAAAGTGGATTACTTTGATTGGCAAAGAGATAGTTGACTTCCTTTTTTGAAAGGTTTTGTTTATAGGTATTGCCATTTTTCTTTTCCATGTGAGAGCTGATGGCAAGTCATTTTTCAGAATCTTGTTGCCATAGCAAGAAATAGTTCCAGTGATGAGACAAATTCACTTTTGGGAAGTGGTTTTGTGGTCCCTTATATAAGGCTCTTCTTACAGTAAATGTCAGTGAGAAAGAGGGATTGAAGGAGGGAATGTGTGTCAGGAGGAAGAAGAGAAGGAACTTTGAGCCTCAGTTGTAGTTGGTCTGGAAAGGGACTGCACAGGGAAATTGTACGTTGTAAGACAACAAATTTCCTTCCTGTGTTCTGAGGCTTTTGAACCTGCAGACCAGACACAAGTTTCTCACAGTAATGGTTTCTACCTTTAGTGCTTTTGCAAGAATCTTAATGGTTCTTTAGCATTAGTTTTAAGTATGCAATCTGCTATATGTCTTTCTTCCTTTGGAATCTGTTTCATCTAGATTTCAGGGTGAATTATGTTTAAGTTAATACATCTCTGTTGAGTATAATTTTTGCTCAGTGTTTTAGCATCCTGGAGATAGGAGGCAGTAGGAATTTGGGAATTTGGTTGCTTTTTTTTTTGTTGTTGTTGTCTGTTTGGTTTTTGTGCATTTTTTTTCTTTTTTTTTTTTTTTTTCTTTTCTGGATCTTTTTTTGTTTTGTTTATTTGTTTATTTTCATTCCTTTTGATTTTCAGAGTTGCATATATTCACATGTGGATCTGATTATAAAAAAAAAAAAAAGCTTTAAATCCTTTTTCTGTATAGTTTAAAAAGCACACCAAAACAGCAGTAAAAGCAGTCCCTTAGTGTATCTGCTGCTTCATAGAAAATAAACGAGTACATACGATTAATTTAGCCAAGAATCATCTTTCACATTTTTTAGAAATTAATGCATAAAGACCTCTATAGTTCTGTAAGCATGTAAACAATTAATAGCTATTTTAGATCAACATTTGTGAATAAGCTTCAAATATTGCAGTCCCTTGTGAACAACTGTTGGTAAGCAGCCCGCTTGATAAATAGATAGATACCAATATCTGGTACCAATGGCAGTTGAGACAGTTGATGTACAGCATAAAAAATAGTTGCAGCTGATTTTCTCTAAGCAGTTAGCTCTTTCTTATGAGTGCATTCATGCTTAGTATGTACAGTGATGCTCAACTCCCTTAGTGAGGTAGCACTGATGAGACAACTGAATCAGTGCAGAAAACTTCAGCTGGATTGTTAACTGTGCAGTAAAACTTATTTTTCTAGGACTGCTCTTCTGATATTAAACAAATAATTTTCTCCTAGTTACAGCATTGTAGAATTGTATTGTTCCTTGTTTTGGGATTTGTTGTCCTCTGATTCAGAGGAAAACAGAATTTTTAAAACTGACAATTATGTGTTACAATTAGAGTATTTAAATAATGTTAACTTTGGATTTACTGAGGATTTCAAATTTTCTGCAAATAGCTAACATGTTCCATTTACTGTGCTTTCTGGTCATAGAAACTTAATGAAATTTCACATTTTTTGGAGTTAAGCTTGCATGTGAACACTTTCATCTAAAAAGCTTTTTTCTTTTTCAGACTGTAAAAATGCTAGCTAGGTTTGTTTATTATTTTTTTGCTTTTTTTTTTTTTTTTTTGTAAGGCTTCTCATGTGAATCAATTGTAAACTTCTATAACGATGACATTGACCTAGTGGTTAATTTGACAGTGTTTTAATGAGACAAAAGTTTACAGTTGTCAGTTACTTGGCATATTTGCCTTGATTATCTGCCTGATATATATAGGCTTGCTTTGTAGCAAGTGAATTTGACACTAACAACTGACCTTTTCAATTTTAAGTTGACTAACATTTCTGTTGCTTGAAAGGTGAATTTATGAGAAGCCTTAGTATGTTAATTTTTGTATTTTCAGTGAAACCTCAATATATCTATTTTTTTATTTGCTGAAAACAAAGGATATTCTACTTTTGATCTTTCATAAGGATTATCAGCAAGTACAGCAAGAGTACTTACATATTTTTTGTTCAAGATGGATTGGTGATCCTAGTTTGAGAAAAAAGCTACAGCCAGAAGTAATATTGAACTTACTGAGAAGTATTTTTATGTCAAAGTTCTTTCCTATTCATCAGTAACATTACCCTCACAGTATTTATAAATCGAAAGAGAATACCATTTCATCCTTCTTTTTTATCTAATAACATGGCCTATGATATTTTGGTTAGCTGAAACACTTGGCAGCTCTTGGCCATTTGGTCCTAATGAGATTCTTTCCATAAATGAGTGACTAATACGAGCAAAGCACACCTTATCTAAATGCAGAGACTGATAATATTATTTAAGATTCATGTAAATGTGCAAATGTACATTTGTGTGGACAAAACATTTCATTGCTAAGAATATTTTAGTATTAGCAGGGGGAAACAATTTAGGAAAATTAGTGAAGTATGTACCAAAGCCAAATCTGTATCTGGTTAAGTATTAGGAAACAAAATTTAATTAAATCTATATTATCATTTGTCCTTTCTACAACTGTTGATAAAAGTGAGAAAAATGAAGTTGAAAATCTTCCTGCAGTTCTGTTATCTCAAGATGTGAAATAAGATGATGCTTAGCCACCTATTTAATATTAGTAATCATGTCTGTATGAGGAAAAGCTGCTGTGAGCTACTGAGTTGTCAACACTTTCCATGAGAAAAGTACCAGTTATGTTATCTTTGTGTTCAACTGAGAAGAATAACAGTATTCCTCAGAGAATGCAGAGAAAATCAGGATTCAAATTTTGAGCTGTAAGCTCTCACCTAATGGAACGTATCTATCTCATTGGTCTACTTTATTATAGAGGAAAACATTCAAATTGTTGCCATTCTAGGTGAACTCAGTGATCATCCATGCAAAGCTCTTCTCCCTGCCCCGGAAAGAGGGCTTAGAAATTACAGTCCTTGACATTGCAACAGAATTTTAGAAGGCCCATCAAAGAGTTGTATGTTACTGTATATCTTTTAAGTATTAGAGCAAAACATAGTTGGACTTATTCAGGCATCTTCTCAAGGTCTGCAGAATCTACAACTTTTGATGAATTGGCTGTAGCTGTAGAGCATTTTTTCAAAATGTATTGATCACAATGAATTCTGACTTCTTAGGAAGTTAATTTACTTGTCTTCACTGAACTTCTTGCTAGTTCAGCAGAAGTACCTCTTCATTATTGAAGATGAGATGTCTTTTAGATGTGGACATGGCCTTGCCTCTTTTTGTCCATGACTGAAAAATTCAAAAGATTGTCAATCTCATTCAAGGTAATTGAGTGTAAAAGAATGCTGTTGTATTGTCAGTTTGGGCCCACTCATCTGAAGTGCAAGTAATGACTGATTTTTCTGTGTACCAAGAATTGACATTTATAGAGCTGTCAACTGGGGCATCACAGCATTTTCTTCAAGTACTTCGAGAATTGTCAAGGAACAGTTTTGCATTTGGGACTACTGTCCTTCAATTTTTGATTAGGAACAGAGAAGACAATAACTCGTGAGTGGATACTGCTTGGAATTCTGCATGTACAGACAAATAATTGAAGAAAATTAATTATGTCTGTCTGAAAAGAATTGTCTGTAAGAATTACTTTTTTCTTCTGCAAGAGGTTCTTTCAACTGTGTAGAAGATGTTTTCTCTTTGGTCTTACCCTTTATTTGCAGCATTTGAGATTGGACAGAAGGACCTGAAAGGCCTGTTGATGCTTTCTTCTGATAAATACTGTGAACAGGCAGTGAATGTTAGGAAACAACTTATTTCAAATAAGTTTCCAATCTAACATAGCAGAAGTAAGCCATCTCAGGAATTTCTGAAATTTGATTTAATTTATTCATTGATTGATTAAATTTTTGGGAAGGAATTACCATGTCTGTCATTTCAACTGTATTTCTTTAATTAGTAATAGGGAGTAAACTCATCGTCTGACTACTGTTAGGTCTGAGGTCAATAATAGTTTCTGGTAATTTAAGAATTATAAATATCGGTTGATATTTAAATTTGCAGAATTTTTAAAGCATACTGTTAAACAGATTTAGCACTACTTTAAAATGGGTATGTCACAATCTGATATTTTCATCTTTAATTAAAAAAAACAAACAAAACAAACAAAAAAAAGGCATTAGTTTTTATTTTTCTGATTCATTTTTGCAGTTGAGACTTCCTTCCTCCTAAGCAAAAAATGAGGAAGATGAAAGTAGAATGTTATTCAAAATTGTAGGCCAAAAACAAACAAGGTTTCTTAAAAAAAAAAAAAAAGAAGGAAAGTTCTCAAATAAAGTAAGCCATTGAGCATTCTGGGTTACTTTCACGACATGTCAGAAGTCTTTGTGTATTAGACAAATGTAGGCAGTACTTGCAGATAAACACATTTCCTTCAGAGGTTCCCACTCTTTTGTGCTGGCATTTGGAAGCCAGGTGGGGTATACTGAATGTGTACTATATATTCGTGTTTAAGATTGTGAATTGGGTCCCTAGTTGGTATTGATGATGTATCCTAGAGTGCCCTAGTCGCTCCATTTGTGTTGTAAAGATCTATAGAATCAATCAGAGAACAATGGGAGTTCAGCAGAGGAGTTTAACTACATGTGGCATTCGTCTGTGTATGGACATCTAAGTGTAGATACCTGAAGTTTCAACTGTGTTGTATAGGGAAACTCTAATAATAATTCTGTTTCTATAAGAATAATTCTATTTCTTGAGTTCTGTCTTGTGCTTATACCAAGCTTGCTGCTGTTTTATTGACGTATCTTCAAACAGAGTAAGAGTATTAATATATTTTATTCAAACTGTGAACTTCAGAACAGAAAAAACTGTCTTACTTCTTGAATCTTCCAATGGATTATTGGTTGAAACTGCCTATTGGCAAGCCGCTGTTCGTCAAGCTATTCAACAAGTATGAGGGATATTTTTCTCTTTCTCTTGGTTTTGATATTTCTTCCTGAGATCTAACTTTCCCAAAAGCAAATTACTCAGAAGTAAATTTAAGTGAGGTATTTTTTGTAATTTGGGTTTGTTTCCTCTTGTATAAACTGCACTCTTTCTGCTTTTTGCAGACTTTTCTTTGAAGGCTGCAACAACTATTCTGAACAAGATGTTAAAGGTCATGACAGACAAATATTGGATACAAATATCTTGTTCAGTTTCCAAAAAAGCTTGATTATGAAACAGGAGTCTTAAGTTGTCTTCTGTTGGGTACTGTTAAAACTAAAACTTGTAGATTTTATTCAATTCACATTGAGCACGTAAGGTTAACTTTTTTGTGTTATTGTGTGAAATTTTATTATTTTTTTAAAGAAGCTTCTAGTTTAATAAACTCTTTTCTTATCCTTATAAAAGATTTTGATATTTTACAAACTCTTTCTGTTTTGAAGATCAAACTTAGGCCAGTCAGAGCATTCTTGCCTGTTGCTTGAGCCTTCCAACAAGTCCCATGAGTCTGTGAGAAAGAATTTTGCTTCACAGAGCTGTAGAATCATAGAATAGAATCATAGAATCACTCAGGGTGGAAAAGACCTTAAAGATCATCAAGTCCAACCATTACCTAACCATACTACCCTAACTAACAACGCTCCGCTAAATCGTGTCCCTGAGCACTGCATCCAAATGGATTTTAAACACATCCAGGGCTGGTGACTCAATTACCTTTCTGGGGAGCCTATTCCAGTACTTACAACCCTTTCTGTATAGAAGTTTTTCCTGATATCCAGCCTAAACTTACCCTGGCACAACTTGAGGCCATTTCCCCTCATCCTGTCACCTGTCACCAGTGAGAAGAGTCCAACCCCGCTCTCACTGTAAGCACCTTTCAGATACTGGAAGAGAGTAATAAGGTCTCCCCTCAGCCTCCATTTCCCCAGACTGAACAGACCCAGTTCCTTCAGTCTCTCCTTATAGGGCTTATTCTCCAAGCCCTTCACAAGCCTTGTTGCCCTTCTTTGGACCTGCTTCAGCACCTCAATGTCCTTTCTGTACTGAGGTGCCCAAAACTGAACGTAGTACTCGAGGTGAGGCCTCACCAATGCCGAGTACAGGGGCAGGGTGACTTCCCTAGTCCTGCTCACCACACCATTCCTGGTCCAAGCCAGGATGCCATTGGACTTCTTGGTCACCTGGGCACACCGCTGGCTCATATTTAGCCAACTGTTCACCAGTACACCAAGGTCCCTTTCCATGCTACATTTATCCATATTATTCATTTCTTTATGTTGCAATTAGCCATACTATTCAATGAATTTGTTCTTTAGTTCTATTATACTTCCAGTATAATTCCACAGTAGAAGGATCAAGCTTACCAGGCTGTAGTTTTCCAGATCACCCCCAAAATATCCTTTGTCATTTTCGTGTTTGTCAGTGTACTTTTAAACATATATCCAGAAGCAAGTACTAAAAGAATTTTGGATTTTGTTCTGACCTGTTGGGTGAATCCTCTTTTATGACTTAATCGTTGGATTTGTTTTGGAAGTACTTCTGCCAACCACTGAACCTGTGATAGATTCTGTCTTTCTCTAGTGTGGGAGCTATTTTCATGCACATGTAGAACATCTGATGAAGTGTTGCTGAAGTTTGTTTTCTCTGGGTACTCCTTGTTTCTGTAATCTTTGCCTGTACCTACAGATCATATAAATTAAAAAAGAAAATACTATTGTTATCTCAGCAGGCCTTTACCTGTGATTAATTATAATAATAATTTATTGTTGTTCTAAATGGCTGTGATTCTGGAAAGTTAATTCCTGTTCCTGTGAGCTATGGGTTTTTCTAATATATCTCTCCATTCTTTGGAAAAGGCACAACTTGCTAGTTGACAATATTAATCAGTTTGCCTGTTGCTTGATGTTGATCTGAAAAACTGCTTCCCATCAAGTGTTCTGTGAAGCTGAGTACATTGAAAGAGGGAAGATTTTAGCAGAGAAGGAAAAATAATCAAACCATTCTGTTCTTTAGATTCACTTTAGTTTAAAATCAGTGTTATGTCTTCTAATACTTTTTTCACTGTATACACAGACATTAGCCTTCACAGTTTTCTGTTGTGTCACTATGTATACATATATGTGTAAAAATTTATATTTATACTATTTTTTATATGTTGAGAATTATGATAATCAAGACATCTGTGGCAAATGGACTTAATTGTAAAAATGGCAACTTCAAAAGAGTGAGAAAATATTTGATTTTTGTGGAATTTTGTAAACTTGTTTATGGTATCCTTAGCTTGTGGCTGACCAGAGATCTGAGTATCTTAATTACAGGATTGTAATGGATTGATGGCATGCTACTAGTAGTTTGTCTTTTTTTCTTTATGAACACCGAAAACTGAGAAATAACACTATGTTGTTTTTCCTCTGTTGTAGGTAGCTTGCATGCAACTCATCAATGCTCTTGTTACATCTCCCGATGATTTGGATTTTAGGCTTCACATCAGAAATGAATTTATCCGCAGTGGATTGAAAGAGATACTGCCAGTAAGCACGTTGTCGTCTCTCTTTGTATTGCTATTAAAATTACTGGACTGTTTGAGTCTGAGAGGAGAAATGGAGAACAAGTTCTAATACATTATTCTCAAGGGCATTTTATTAGGTTAGAGCCTAAGCAGTTAGATATTAGAATCAATCTTAAAATAAGAATGAAAAGGTGAAGTGTGCTCTCTTAAGCGTATGCTGAATCCTTAATCTTTTATAGCTTTGATTTAGAACAGGCTGCAGAATGTAATGCTGCCACTAGTGAAGCCAATTGAAGCCCTGTTTACCTTTTGCATATTAAAATTATACATATTAAACTTAACTCATTTTATACTTTGAAATAATGTAGATTCATGGAAGTCACTAAAAAGGTAAGGCTTATTTCCTTATGGAAATGCTAAATTTGCCAATCTTTCTACTGTTTCTTCCTTGCAGCAATTGAAATGTATTAAAAATGAAGCACTAGATATTCAGCTGAAGGTATTCAATGAGCACAAGGAAGAAGACATGATTGAATTCTCTCATCGTTTAGAAGATATTAGATCTGAACTAGAATATCCTTTTGATATTGGCAAGAGAAACATGAACAAAAGAATATATATAATAAAAATTTTTCTATGTAGCTTTAGTTTAAAACAACATTTTGACTCAACATTTGACTGAAATGTTTTTTACCATTTGATGTTCTCCTTAACTCTTTTACTGAAGTAAATGATGTTTACAACATGGTATGGAATACAGTTAAGGACACTAGTGCCGAAGGATATTTTCTTTCTATTCTCCAACATCTTTTGCTAATAAGAAATGATTATTTTATACGGTATGTTTAATGTTATATTGTATATTAAGTTATAATATATATGTGTTATAGTGTATATTAAGTGTTATCAATTGTTGCTCAATCATTAATAGAGTGTCTTCTACCACTTTATGAAATACATTTTAGTATTTTTCTGAACTGAATGCAGTTTGTAATTATTGCTTTGTGAATTCATATTTCAAAGTATCATTAGAAAGAATGAATAAGAATGTTGTCTGTATGTTTTTTCCTCTTCTGCTTGGGATCCAACTCCATATATAAACAGAGAATGCTGGTTTTATTGAGATTTGAAGCTTGTTTCCTGCATGTATAAGTGATCAGGACAGATCTCTTAATGCTACTAATGTGGTTTATAAACAGTTGTAACTGTGTCATGTATTTGAAACAAAAACAAAAACAATAATGCTCACAAGTGTACTTTGTGTGTAGATCTCAACTTATTAAACTAAGGGTGCTTGCCTGACTTGGGTACATCTGTGCTAGACCTCTTCCACTGGAATGATTTTGAAGTGACATCTTGCACATTCTGGTCAAGTGGTCCAGCTGTGATACCAGTTGGCATTTTAGAATTGTTTTTCTTCTGTTTTAATAAAGCAGGGCCTCAGTGTATCCATAGTGAAAAGTCATAAAAGCAGAAGGAATCAGATGAGGGAAGAGCCTTCTTTTTATTGGAAGGAAGCAGGAAAGAGTCCTGCCTTTTTTGTAGTTCCACATGAAAAGAGTTGCAGATTTTATGATACAGAAATATTTCACGTTTATATGTGCTGGTTTTTCAGGCTTTGTGTAACTGTTCTGGTCTAATAAACTGCCAAATATATTTGTCTTTTAAAGGTTTTGGGTTTTGCATTTGTCCTTCTGTGGAAATAAGTCAACCCAAATCTTTTGACATTACTGTATTCAGAAGGAGGATGTTACCTATATGTTAATAAATAAATTGTGCCCCTGTCTTTAGTCCACAGTATTTCAAATTAATTGAAGAGTGCGTGTCCCAGATAGTGTTACATCGCAGTGGAACAGACCCAGATTTCTCTTATCGAAAAAGACTAGATATAAATTTCAGCCACTTAGTAGGTAAGTCTCATGCTGGAAAGTGTTTACAGTATTGTACTTTTTTTCAAAACACGGAGTGATGCATGTGATTAAGAATATTATTTTCCTTGCATATTTACAAGTGTGTATTTGCTTATTTTTTTCAGATGTTTGTGTAGATAAAGCAAGATTAGAAGAATGTGAAGAGCGGGCTTCTGAACTTTCCAGGAAGGTGCATAATAATTTGAAGTTATGATTGTAGGATGGATATAGGAAATTGCATAACAGACTCATGAGTAATGCAATTGAAAGTTGCATAGCTTTTAACTTCAAGTTACTGCTATTACTTATGTTGAAGTGGGAATTTGAATATTTCTTGTGGTCTGGGAAGTAGAGAAGTGTTATAAAATAATTAACCTTAACTGAGTCTTTCTACTATTTACTGTAAGGTACAAGTAACCCCAGAATCAACTGAAAGATTCATATGAACAGCTATCTATTGAAAAAGGTGAACAGAGTAATAATAAGAGTTGTCTTGTTCGTGTGAACAGATTCCATCTTACCATTCTTCACCATTTTTTACTTTTTTTTCTTGAGAAACACAGAAGTGAGAATCCTAGAAAGTATGTGGACATGACTATTCTTAAAATTGTTTTTTCTCTCTTGCTTTCTTTTATTTCCTTAGTTTGAGAAAGATTTTGTAGCTCATCAAGAGACCCAGGCCCTACTGCAAAAAAAAGAAGAAAGAATCAATGCACTTGAAGCAGAATTACAAGCTTTTAAATCTCAGGTATAGGACAGTTTAATAAATATAGAAAGTATTCTTTTTGGAATAGATTTCATTTGATTTTCTTGCAGATTCTGATAGAGTGATTGAGGATAATTCAAAGAATCCTGTTATTGATTTTCTGTTAGCTTACTTTATTTCTGTAGTGTGACATTACTGGCCTACGTGAGATCCCAGTTGATCCTTTTTGTGCCTGAGTTCTGTTAATTAAACTAGTTTCCTACATTTCATTTGGATTTTACTTTCAGTGTCATATATTTCCAAAGTAATTAACCACATAGAGTAATAAGTCCTATGCTTTTAGATTAGCATTCATCACTGTGATCTTTATCCCTCCACAGGAAATTATTCATTGTGCAGTTTGCTTTTCTGAAACCTTACCATGAATATCCAACAGTGAAAGAAAACCTGTGATTAGATAAGAAGATTTGCTGATAATTTTCAAATTTCAATCATATATAGTGCAGACTTTTTGAGTGATGCTTGAGTTAACTTTTAACTACTTCACTCTAAAATCTATATAAGGAAACTGTGTGGGCAAGTGACTTCCCTGTGTCATTTTTAGGAGTAAGGTTCAATATAAAAATGACTAAAGTAAGATAACACTGAGATGACATGCATGTAGAAAGATACTGAAATATATGCTTTCATCATAAAGCTTTTTATGGTTCTGAGCTTGTTTAATTTTTTTAGTGAGGAAAATTAGTTCATCTATTCTTTGATTGGTTGAAAATATAATTTTGATTCAGGTTTCTGGTCAGAATTCACTTCTAATATATATATTTTTTCACAGCATGCAGTCAGTGAGCATAATTTATGCTTATACTCACAAATTATCATACCATGAACTATCTCACTGTTAATGCTACTTGAAATGCTTCCTACATATCAAGTAATTGATTCATTCAATTTAGTACTATTACTCTTATGTCCATCCTAAGAGGAACCTTTGGTTTCCATATGGCATCTACCTGTTACAGCTGTCTTTGTCCTGGTCTTGTTCCTCATTTTCACTTTATTAGTATTTGGAGCTTTTTAGTATTCAGTTTGTTTCGTCTTTAGAACTTATATTTCAGTGACTGTGTCAGTGTAAAGAATGCTTCTTTCAAGCATTTGAAAACAGTAAAACTGTCCTGCATTTATTTAATTATATCTATTGATTTTCAGCTATTTCTTAAAAAAAGATAGTTTGATCTTTCCTTATTGTGTTTCCCCTCTAAGTTTGAAAACTAAAATGAACAGTGCCAGTTGATAATGATAAGTTGAAAGAAGTTGATTAGCATTATGACCAGTAGATAGATAATATGTATTCTTTTGTTCTTTTTGTTGGTTACCTCTTTAACAGTGCTTAAAGGCCTAGGATAGAATTTCTTAACATAGCACAACAAAAGATCCTTTTTTTAAAAAAAATTGAGGTTCTAAAAGGAAAAGCCCGTCTTCATATAGATGTCCTCACTGCACTGAATATTAAGTAGGTGTTATCTTACAAATTGTTGTTGCAGTTGTAAACACTGCTTCAGTAAGTACTGTATAATATTGTGCTGTTGCTACTTCTGTCCACCTACAGTATGGTAACGTTCCGACTTTTATCAGAAAGAGTGGCTTCCAGTTATATATATCTGCAAATGTAATGCAGCTGTATTTTTTGGAAGGAGTTTTTTTCTTTCTGCCTTCAATCCTGCAGAATGGAAATGCTCCCGAATTAGACAGTTTTCAACAGAATTTCTAACTTTGTCATATTCTGAAATCAAATTTTAGGAATAGTTCTCCGTAATCTGTCGGATAAGTAAGAATGCAAGAACTGTTTTTAAATTTGGGTTAAAGTAATAGTTTCATGAAGGCACGTGTTATACACTCTGTAGGTCATGATCACTGAAATGTGGTGAGGGGATATAGAATTTCAGTTTGTGATTTTTGGTGTTGTCTGAGTGTCTGTTTCAAATATTGAGACTTCCAGTTACAAGATGAAATGTGTTGGGTTTATTATAATACATATTTGAGTGTCCTATGTACAGAAAATATCACGCCATCTTAATTTGTTGACTGTAAAAATGATGGCATTTTGTTACTAACAATATGAAACTGAATATTTTCCTTGTCAGTATGGCTCCTTGCCACCTGGATTTCTACCATCAACATCTGGAGATGCATCTGCCATTCCACTGGAAGCTGCAGAACCACATCAGATGCCTCCTCCTCCTCCACCACTGCCTTCTAACGGAGCAATCCCACCACCACCACCGCCTCCCCCTCCTCCTCCACTTTTTAATGGCTTGGGATTTGCTGCAGGAATTGGTGCTCCTCCACCACCACCACCTCCACCAGGCCTGCCTGGGGTACAGTGGTCTCCACCTTCATGTGCTCTGCCATTTGGGCTGAAGCCTAAAAAAGAATTTAGACCGGAGGTTACCATGAAAAGGCTCAACTGGTCTAAGGTAGTATGATGAATGGCAAATACCTGCTCTAAAATCGTACATAGAGATTAAATAGATTGTTAGGAATAAGACATTATAGGTAAATCAGCTAAATTTATGTTAGATATGCATACTTTTTGCCTTTATTTTTTTCTCTTTCCTGAAAATTGTGTTCCTTTCACCCCTGAAGCTTCTGAGAAAATATCTGGAAAATATAATTCTGGGCTGAAGTAATAGAACCTTCATAGCAGCATGCTTTCTAGATCCTGCTGTGCCTTGTCTTTTAGTGGACTGTTTTCACTGTATCAATCACTGCACTGTACTTTTAGCTATATAGTTTCCAGACAAGTATTTTGCCTCTGTCATTCTGTGGGAGAACCATTGCAAGTGTTTGTATTTGTCCTCAGTATAAGTGTACTTAGATAAATGTAACAGTTGCAAATATATATTCTGTATAGTTCTTTCCTCTCCTTTGTGGCAGGATCAAGTATGCCAGGACTATCAATGTATTGTATTTTAGAAAATAGAGCAAAACAAAACTTTCAGAGTTTTATGAGGCAATATAATATAACCAGCTGTTATTTAAAATAATACTATTTAAAATAACCAGCTGTGTTCAGAGACCAAAGTCTACCCAAGTTTCATAATCTAAATAAAATACCAAGTACAGTTTGCTATATGTAGACTTTGAGTAACAAATATGTTGTCAGTACTGCTTCATATTGTTTCTCCAAAAGCACTTGAATCGTAAACATTTTAACAACTATAAAATTAGGGGAAAACTTTGTGTTTTACGTAGCCCTTAAGTACTTCATCGGTTTTGGAATCTACAAAGGTTACTCTTTCCATAGTATGAAAACCATTAATTAAATTTTGTTTTTCTCTCTTAAAGATCAGGCCTCAGGAAATGACAGAATCCTGTTTTTGGGTTAAGGCAGAAGAGGACAAGTATGAGAATGCTGACATGCTTTGCAAACTGGAACTTACATTTTGTTGTCAGAAGAGGGGTAAGTAATTGATACCTACAGTTTTCAGCTTTTGGAGTTACCTTTTAGAAAATTGGGTCTTAAGTAACTGTATACACTGTTAAACATATACCATTCTATACATCAACGTTATGTTTTTAAAGTGGAGTGTGTGATGAAAGAAATTTGAAGAACATGCAACTATTTTACTTTAAGGATGGCAAGGAAATTTGTGACTCTTAACACGTCAAAAACTGAGAAATGTTTCCTGATAATATAGACATTTGAAAAATTCTTTATTAAGTTTTGTCAGACTATCTTAATAAAATACACTAATACAGTGTATGGGAACTGCTGAGTCACGGCCTGAACCTCTGATTAATCACCTGAGGTGAGCCATGAGTCAGCCAGAGGAGCACTGGTGAAGGCAATTCTATTCTAAAGACCTATTTAAGAGCTGGCTACCAGAGGGGAAGGATCTCTTTTGGAGATCACCTCTCCTGGTGTTTTGTGGTGAGCTCAGCCAAAGGGTAAGCTCTTCCACTAATTCTCTTTTTGTTATCGTTGTCTACTTTGCCTAACTCTCTTGGTTATATTGTGATTATAATATCTTGATATCTATTGATTATACAATTATATTGTGATTATAACATCTTGATATCTATTGATTATACATACAGTGACACAAGAAGGTGATATGTTTACTCTCAGAGTGTATACATTAATTGATGTGTTTTGGTTGAAGGGCAATAGTTTTTAAGTGAAGTTCTTCTCGCAAACCTGTGGCAACCTTGATGTCTTTTGACATTTTGCTTAGTTTCTTTAACTTTCAAAGCCTGTGGAAGAGCAAACTCTGCAAGTATTTTTTGACTATTCTGCCTTTCTGGAAATAAGTTGTTTTACTAGCTATTGCAACATTATTTATCCAAGACATAAATTACTTACTGTTACTTCTTGACACTTTTTTAATGCTCCTTGCCAGAGATTGTATCTCTAGTGTCAGAGATTGAGTACTTTGGGGCAGGTAAAGGAGCACAAATAATTAGTTTGTTTTCAAATTGAAAAGGCATTGTTTAATTTTTAGTTTCTTTCACATTTTTCATTGCAATATATTTATTTAATATAACATACAGCGTTATTTAGAAACCTCCAGGTTTTTATTTGTTTTGTTTGTTTGTTTTGCTGAGCTTTTGTCAGAGCAGGCTTTCGATGCTTAAGGTGATGTAGTATTTCTAATGAGTTGAGTTGCAATTTATTCATGATGATACTTAAGAATATTTAAAATGTTGTGCAAAGATTAAAAAAAAAAAAAGGCAAGAAAGCCTCATAGATTCTTAGACTATTAGAATAAGTGTAAAGATAACTGTGGTGCTTTCATAATGTTAGGAAAATTCCCAGTTGAATCCCTTTGAATTAGTAAGTTAGAAGGTTTAAAAACCATTGGAGGAAATACTGTTTCCCATGTAATTAAACAATAAAATTTGGGAGGCTGAATGATGTTTGGACCAAACGTTGAAGGCTCAGAGGAGGATTGTGAACCTCCACAGACAGCAAGAACATCAGAGTTAACAAGATTATATCCTTTAAAAGTTTGACTGAATACATTGTTTTGGCAAAACCTAATAGAGAAGAATTATTGGATCCAGCTGAAAAAATGAGTGAAATACATTGTTACACCAAATAGTGTAGTAAATGGTGGGTAACAAGTCTTCAGGGATGAATGTACATTTTTTTCTAGAGATTGTGTTCACTGCATTATTTAAAAAAAAAAATCTTTTTTTTTTTTTTTTTTTTAGTTTTTTAAATATTTAACTTGAATAATGTATGTCCTCATTTTTTTTTCCCAAAGGAAAAGGAGACTAAAGATTGTATTTAGAGCATTAGGTAGATATTGAGAGGGTGATGTGCAACTAACTTTCAGCTTTGTTCAAATAACTGGTTCACAAAAGTTTGCATGAATACTTAAACTCTAAGTAAACAGCACTGGGTATCTCAGTATCTCTTACTAACAACATTAATCCTAGTTCAGAGAGTATTACAGTAACTACTTTTATTTTCTTGGATGTAGGAAAAAGGGATGCTTCTCTATAGCTCATACAAAACTTACATGACAACACTTGTCAAAAAATCAGAGACCTACATTTTTCTGCACCTCTAGTCTTAAAGAGGTTTATAACTGTGCTTTGTAATGTAGCGTCATCAAATCGTATTCAGTTTGGAAACAGTCTGTGACTATTTCTGAAGCTTTGTCTCTGAAACCAAAAAGACAAGTAGAAAATGATTCTATATCGAGTTGATGCCATGCAAAGAATGAGCTGGTTTCTGTTGAAGCAACTGCTTATGTGTTCTTTTCATCGAAGTCAGTTGTGTTATAAGGGACCAGAATGTTCAGTGATGCTTTCAATGCTTTTTATTGTAATTATGTAAAATCAAATCGAAGTACTCAGATAGTCAGTTACTACTTTTTACCAGCTGGTGTACCCAAAGTAAATATTTCATTCTTGATCCATGTGTAAAATCCACTGAAAAATGTCTCTGTTTAAAAGGAATAGAGAATAATCGTAGAATGGTTTGGATTGGAAGTTCCCATTCAGTTCCAACCCCCTGCCACCAGTAAGGCTGCCCACTCACCCACCCACAATAGAAAGCTGCCTAAGTGCCCCATCCAGCCTGGCCTTGGACACCTTCATGGATAGGGCATCCACAACAATAATATAGAAAAGATTTGAAGCCACAGCAGATATTCGTATCAAAGTCATAAATGATGTTGATTCTGAATGAAAGCAGGTGAAATAATTGAAGATGTAATGCAGTTATGAAAGAAACATTACTGTGAGTTAAAAATGTAAAGGAAGGGTCTAGCTTCTAACTGTTGGAAAAATATTGAGTAATAACATGGAACAAAGATTATATGTGGGGAAAAAATCACTTTTATTTGAGGATGTCAGGAGAGTCAAAGACATTCTCAAATAATGGAGTTTTGTAGTTTTGAAGGGATGCAAATCCAACTCGTCCAACTATCTTTTTAAAGTAGGGTCAGTGTAATTAATGTTGCTTGAGGCTTTGTCCAGCTGAGTTCTAGATAATCCTAAAGAGGTAGAAAGTATGGCTATGATGCTAGGCAATGTTTTTTAGTGTTTACCATCACTATGGTGAATTTTTTTTTTCTGTAACATCTTGTTGCAGTATTTGTTGTTGAACCTTTTGTCTGTTGCTCCTTATTTATAGCACATATCTGAGAAGAATCTGTTTACCTCTTATTGTACCCTCTTGTTAGATAGTTGGAGAGAGTAGCAAGAATTCCATCTTTTCTACAAACTGTTGCAGTTCTCAAGCCTTTTCTCTTCGTCAAGTTTCAGCCCTCTCATCGTCTTGGTGGCCTTCCACTGTACTCATTCCAATATATCTCTGTTTCTCTTGAAGTGGTGAGTGCAAAACTGAACAAGTGCTCCAGATACTTCTCTCTGGGAGAGAAGAAAGTAGAGTGAAATAATCACTTCTTGGACCTGCTGATTACAGTCTTAGTACCTTATTGAAGGAAATGTTTTCACTGTGTCGCTTGTTTGATAAGAATAATTCATAATAACTCAAAGCTATGGGTGGCATATTTTTTCCTCGTTTATTTGTTGTAAGAGTACAGTTATCATTTTTGTCACTTTCCAGAAATTAAGTCATTCTGTGAAAGCAACGTGTGTTACAAAAATTACATATTTAAGCAGGAACAATGAGAACTAGCAAAGCAGCAGTTGCTGATTCTATTCTTGTAGGCAAGCTATGAAAAACAAAGTGCAGTTTATTTATCAAAAAGCTCATTTTCTGAACTCAAAATTAATTTGCAGTCTTAAAGAAATAAGATTATATATATATATGAAAGAAGTAGGCAAGGACAAAATAGCAGGCCAACTCCTTTAATATGTAAAGTCATATAGATTTTCTGTTATACAGGGAATGTGGGAGGACGCAGAATCCACACAGGTCCAGAATCATAAAGTACTTATTAGCATGTGGATGAAATATTTTCACTATGAATGCTTGAGAAAATATTAAATTAATGACTGAAAAGCATGCATATGTTTGATATTTGCAAGAAAGCGTGCTTATTCTGATTTTATTCTGAGATGCCCCAAGAATATTAAAAGCTCCTGGAACCTTCAAATCATTAGTTTTCTATCAGCAGCTAAAAGAATAGAAGTAGGGAATGAAATTACTGCCCTAGAGGCATCAGTGTGGAAGTATGGAATGGCCCCTGACCTCACTGGCTGTTTAAAAAAGAAGTGAAGAAAAGAAAGGAAATTGACAATGGGGGGGAAAAAAAAAAAAAAAGCAACTGAGAAATTAAAGAAAGAAATCTGAAAATAAATTGAATGCGAATTCTTCGCATGTATCTTCTTGGACAATCTCATAATTCTTCTCTTTAAAAGGCAAAACGAAGCATATGGTATGATAGATAGTCTGAGATTTGAAAGAGAAACCATAAGAAATATCAAGTATATGAGATCTATCAGATTTATGCTCATGGTTGTGTATCAATAAAGAAGATCTGAATAGTTTTTCTGGCAACACTGGTATCAAAGCAATCACTTAATATAATTCTTTGGAAACATTAAACCAAATAGATGACTTAAATCTGACTGATACATGAAAAACTGAGCAGTGCAACAGGAGCAAACCTTATGTATACTTCTGAATTATCAAAAGCCTAAAATGTAAGATGAACAAACAAAAATTGGATCAAATGACAACCCCTTTATACTGACTGCTCTGAAAGTAATGCCTCCTATTTTATTTTGTTGGCCCACCATGTCAGAGTCAGTTGCTGTTGGTATGGCTGTAGAGGTTAAACCTTCCCACCAATATTCTGTTACATTTTGTTGCTGTGCAACAAGTGGCAGCAAGGATCAGTCTAACAAAATGGCATCTGACAAAAAAGCATCTGACATGGAGGTTGATATGAAGAAAAGCTGTGTAATTGAGTTCCTCAATGTAGAAAAAATTATACTCATTGATACTTTGTTGGATGTGTATGGAGACCAAACCGTGGA